GTATGGTTGCTCTTCCTTGGGCACACTTCACTATCTGCGTTATGGGGATCCATCAAATAGCCCATAGTAAAAGGGAACCAAAACGAAGTAACTCAGAAGATAGTCGCAAGCTGCTCTTGCTTCAAGCTACGACATTTGATGATTCGCATAACTCCTAGGATACCTGATAAATACGTGTAGAGAATGTGATGAACAACCGTCTTATCAGTGACTTCGTTGAGTATGGTTATCTAGAAATGTGAGGCTACCTATGTTAACTGGGATATAGCTAAGTAGTAGAAAATTAATTTTGCACGTGAGAGGCCCCGGAACCTTCAGTGACCCGTCCGTCTGGAACTTGATATGGTTCAACCGTTTGTGTACCACGTTGAACCAATAACTTATACAATTTATTTATTTAAGTGGTGCCCCCGGGATCCTTGAGAACTACTAGCAAGTTGGTCAGTAGTTTGCGATTCCACGAAATCAGTCTCCTAAACTTCAGGTTGGAAATGGGATGGTAACCATTTATATAAAACGGAAACGTTGCCGTCTTCCAGCTCTCTTGCAGACAGGTGCATGAGCCAAACTCCGTGGCCGTGGAATCCAATCATTCTTCTGTAGATCTGACCGCCCTGGCAATATCTCCGCCCAAGTAAAATAATGGTTATGACTACTACATCAGACTTCGGCAACATCCTGCATCGGCCGTCGCGCAGCTTTAAAAGCATCGTCTATTCTATTTGATAAATCAGGGCGAATAAGCGAAAGCATGCTAGTGCCAATGCACCCTTCTTACTTTTCTACGTGTTTCTATTGCTCCTCTCTGAGACCTAATTATTGATCTTCATTTCATAATCCGCACAGTAATTCATCATTGCTACAATACCATATGCAGGTACCTTCCCAAATCATCTACTGGATGCCTCTCCGCAACAGCTCCTGATAAAGCCACACTGTCTCGTTTCAATGGCGGCGTTCACCTTTCGCACTCCAAAAGAACTCAGCCAACGAGCGGCAATCGCACGCACGTTGGACGTTATAGGTAACGATATCTATGCCGTGCCTGAAAGTATGATTAACGACCCTCATGTGATTGTTGAACTAACTGCACCCAAAGTGTCCATATTTTGCTAGTTTCATGTATTCGGAGACGCAGATACCTCAACGGCTGGTTAAACTGTGGCGAGCATCGATGTCGGCTACAAGGCTGAGTCCTCGTGAGCTGATTGCACTCTTGTGAGCAGCTGTTTGTGTGCAGCTCATTTGACGACATCAACTAAGGATGATATACGAAGTAGCACAAGAATCTGTATTACTGGTGGCCGCTTATTCCTCACGACTGCATTCCTGATGCTGCAAAGATACCTGCCACCATGAACTGAATATGCTGCTTCGCATTTCCGATATAACAGTTCTTGCAATGGATATGAATGCACAATTAGGTCGTCTGAGCTCTTCAGAAGCTCAGTTAGGTGGTAAGTCCGATCAAACACGAGTATCTGTTCCAGTTGCCTGCAGAGCACGAACTGTTTCTAAGTACCACCGCTGTTAGGCACAGTGGGCGCCGAAGTGCCATTTGGCGTCTACCTATAGCTGGCCAGCAATGGACCCAAATAGGTCACACTGCCATAAATTGCAGCTGGCGTAATTCCATTCTGCAGTGCCCCTCTTTCTGCAATCCATGCGTCGACTATGATCATGCGCTGGTACTGTATCGTTTTTCCAATAACTTTACCGGTAAGCGTACCAAGTGTCTCCTTCGATTGGTAACTGAGAAGTTATCTCAGGTCTCGGTTAGGCAAGGATACCAGGATGCCCTGAGTACAGAACTTTCGCCGTCTTGTCCTCATGACACTGAACGTTCGTTGAATAGGATCTTGGACGCCATGCGCGACGTGGAAACCTCTGCTTGCGACACTATCTATCGTCACCACACCAGTCAACGGATATCCGAAAGGTCGATGAACCTGTTGGAATCCAGAAGATATCTCCCGACAAGCTCTGAGCACAATGTAACCAAACGGACTATTAGTGGCTAACTGAGGCAGAGCGTCCGCACTGCCGAGGAAGCCGGCTGACTCATTGAGCGGAGCACTTTCGAGATCAATTCAGTTGGCTCCGTACACCCGGACCCCTTCCTACTCAAGTGATGCAGACTGAGACATAGTCGTTTAGTTTTGAGGTTCCGTGAGAGCCTGAGGTCCGAAACGCGATCGCAGCTCCCTACTCTTTTTCGAGGTATCGGTACTGATTCCCTTAAACCCGCACTAGTCAAGGATAGCAATAAACTTCTCTGCAAAGCATGACCTCCCTCTTCCAACAGGTCTGGAAGTGATTACTCCATCTAACTGGAGTGAATCGATCATATTGGAAATATATCCGAAGGGCAATTGCACCGAATGTGCTAAAGATAAACGTAGTAGATTAACGTCAGCAGTGACAAAATTACTGGCCACCATGATCTTTCGTCGTCATACTGAGAAACAGAAATCCCGGGTTATGGAGGAGCAAGCAGGTTCCAGCCAAGGACGCAGCTGTACAGACCACATTTTACTCCGCGGTGGGTGCCAGCGCGGTTTCACACGTATCGCAGACGGGCAATTGCCGTGTTCTTTGATTTCGAGGGTGCGTTCAACTAAGTCGTTTATCCGTCCTGTTTCCATGAAACGTGGACATTTTACGTGCCCAGTACTCGGACATCACGGGCCGCGTCCGGCTATATGATGGCCTGTGGGATATGATCCAAACAACAAGTGCTGTTCGTTAGGGTTCAAGTCAAAGCAGCCTTTATGAAATCTGAAAAGTTCGTATTTAGCATATGCACTATCACTGCGGATATACTGGATGACAATATCAATATAATGTGTATAAATGGGGAAAAATGGAAGATATGCATAGATGTCACTCCAGCAATTGCTCGCGCAGCATGTTTATAACCTTCGTTGGGTCGGAAAGCAAAAGTGAAAGATAAGGCAAGACAGTATCACGATGCGATGAAGTGCAAGAGAACAAAACTTTGAATTTCGGATGAGTAGAAGAAAAAGGACGTTTTTGTGAGATCAAGATGCAGCGGATTAAACCGGTCATTAAGTACATCAGAAGAAAAAGTACCGCAAGCAACAAGGTGTCTAGAAATGATCAAATCAACTATAGGATCTCTAGAAAAGTCGCTACATACAGAAATGTGCTTCATAGGCCGTACCGGGAACCAACTTGTTAGTCTCTTACGGAGGGCGTCGGGATGGTTCCATCCTTCCAGCTTCCCATAAATGCCCAACACGTAAAGCCCCATCTGCAGTACCCGATTCAATCCTGGCAACTCTGGTTAAAAGGCGAAGGGCAACCAAGATTTTGAGAGACTTGCTCGGTTTGCCATACCAGCTACGACTGAAAGCCCTAGGAGTGTACAGCGGAACTATGTGTAGTCGATGGGGTGACGTCAAACTGACGTATTAGACCATGAAGCCCCTCAGTCATCTCCATAAAAGTAGAGGTAACACCAAAATTAACAGAACACTAGCTGAAAAAGGTCGGCATAGAGAGCCGGTTGGAATGTGGCCGGAATGTTTCCTCCATCCAAATTTGTCAGACATGGAACGATCTTCCGAATTCGGTCATTTTCCTCCGAGTCGTTGCCCTTCTCTTAAAAACGACTCGGCAATGCATTGTATTATTTGCATTGCATGTCGCGTCCCCCGTTTATCGGGTGACAACGAAACGCAAACAAAAGCTGTGCTCGCCGGCCTCACACAAAATCGGGATACGTGAGTTTACATGTGTGAGGAAGTGAATATTGTGGTGAGCCCACAGATGTGTAGTCTGCCATGTGGGCAAAATTTTCTTCTTTGAAACTATGCATTTCACATCGAACATTCTACGGAACTTGTCAAGCTTTGATTGTCTTACCGTTGTTGCAACATTATTTCATCGTAGTATGGGCTCCTTGCTAACGCGTTTGTTTCCTTGAGCCACTGGGGACATGTGAAAGTTTACATGTCCTGAATCGATAACACTTCCGATGTAATAATGAAGCAATACATTTCAAGCTTTACATAGATGGGTGTGTAAGGGGTACACATAGAGCGGAAAGTAATTAGCTTTCGACTGAAAAATGAGTTTTACGTCTATATGAGAGACAGTTTAGTCACCCGCTTTAATTAGGATTGGGTTAAAAGACATTTTCTGTGAAAAGAGAAATTGCAGTGACAAAGGCGTTTTCAGTGGTTACCGACACTATGTATCGTGAAACACAACTGCGGAACGCGAAATTCAGGTGAAATCGCACAGATAGACGCCTTCTGCAGTGTTCCTTTTTCTTCAGCTCTGTGCTAGAAAGTGGACCATCTAAGAATAATCGAAGAACGTTCCAGGTAGCAAATAAAGAATCGGTACGCATACTAGTCCTGAAGGTGTCACCAGCTGTGTGCGGGGAACTCAGCTCGTATTGCCCCAATCCATGAACACTTCACTTCCAATCAGCATCCGAGCAGACACACTGCCCTGTTTTGTTAAGTATTTCGTTGGATAAACGCATCGAAACGCTTTCCTATCGTGGGTCTCTGATGAAATGCGCCGATCCCCACATTTTGTTTAATTTCGTGTTGCGCTAGAAGACGCTGTACGTGAGACATTGAGTTTGTGTATCGGATTTATGGCATTTACGGGCTCCAAGACAACGAATGGCAGTGTCAATGATATTCTAAAAAAGCATCTGTCAATGCTTATGAAGTTGCCAATATGTCGCCATTCTTGCCCTGGGAAATCAAAGTGAGTGAGGCCTAAACATTTTTAACCTGTACGCTAGTTCAGGCTGATAGCTTTTATATGTTATTAGCAGCCAATTCTCCCTCGTATTCCTTTTGCAATGATTTTGATCGCCATTTCGAAATTTCTTTCTTAGATTAGGAAGCGTTGCTTGAAAGTGCAGCGTAAATCCTACCTGTCACTTAAAGCAAACACATGTTGTCATGCCATCTAGTGATCGTTCATTACAAAAGGATCATTTATGTGCAACTCACCTCGTAGTGTCTAACCAGCCAGCGTATGACACTAGACTTTCCGCATCCGGGAGGGCCATATAGTACGGCAGGGGTCCGATTCGCTTGGCGCAAGTATGCAGATAATATGTGAAGTTCGCGTGCTCTTGACTGAACCATTAGAGGATCCTGCCATTCAGACGTGTGAATACCCTCCTTTATAGACGGTCCAGTGTAAATTCGTTTCGCCATTATATGAACGGGGCAAGAATACATAAGGTAATCGTAATGTGTAGTACTTTCAGTTTGTACTGTCTGAGAAAGTCCCTGTGGAAAATCGGTTTTCAAAACTTCCGCAATACAGTTTTTCAGCATTCGCAACAAAGTGACGGTGAAGGTGACCAAATAACGATGAATGGGGTCCGCAAGGGATTTCGGTTCTTCTTCGGTTAATTGTAAGTCACGCACTGCAGAGCGGACAGATGTGATCCATGACTTTTCCAGTCCGAATCCGTTGTGATCTTCCGTTGACTGTCGGTTAAGCTCAGAAAGACTAACTGCGACGCCTTGAGGAATCATCAATAACTCTACCTGATCTCTGGATAAATTTTTTAACAAATGTTCACGAACAACGGCTACACGAGTAGAAAGATCGGCGTCAATCACGGACACGGTTGGCCCAGTTGTTATGTCCAGAGTGGTGTCGAAGAGGTTGTTCAGCTGTCTAGTGGTGGAGTTTGGCAGTTCCGAATACTGTTTGGCAGTTGAATGAAGCCCCTGCGTCACATGAACACGACGCTGGAGACAAATACATCTTTTAGCAAGCTCTGACGATTCCATTACTTCCGCCACAAAATTTTCTAAGTCTGTTAATTGATATGGAATGAAAGCAAATTCATAGAACAATACACAATGATAATGTATTTTTGAAAATTTAAAAGTTAAAGTCCGATCGAATTAGTGTGTTCATAAGCATAGAGGTAAAACCATAACCTACAATAAAAGAATGCTACGCTGATCATGTTTCCACTTCAGCTACAGTCCAAACGGTCGAGATGACCGAGGTTCAGCTCAAAGTAAATTGTGTCTCAAAGTGAGATGGTGTGTCACATCCTATACCCACAGTTAAACACACACGCACATACACAACGGTTGCCCTGGAAATTCCGGATTCCACTCGGTTAAGCGCAACTGGAACAATTCATCATCATCCTCGTCGTCGTCATCATCATCATCAACTACAGCAGTACATCAACCATTTGAAATGATGCTTCACTGCCATACAACCATAACGAACAACGGAACGAATAATAATAAGGAGAGATGGACTTAACGGCGAATTTTAAGGCCCTAAGCAAACATTCAGGGTCAAGGCCCCTACACGTTGTCAACAACATACCGTCACAAACAGCTGGCTACCGTGTAAAAATAAGGCAGCATCGACGAGACAGCGTCCTTGCGGTTTTCACTGTCACGCGTCATAATCAGCCATTAGCCCGCAGCTAACTCAGCACCAAATACATTTTAAAAGACCGTCCGACAAGGAGACGGCAGCAGACGCGCCACTGGTGGCAACTGCGCGCCATGTCTTGTAAAGTCTCGAGCCAAGCACAAGGCGAGTCACCTGGACTCTAGCCCGAAAAGCGTGACGGAACAAAGGCACCCAGTTTGGTCGTCAGTAACTTCCTTTCCCGCTGCCAAGTCAACTTTTGTCCCCCTCGAGCCATGCGCCACCCTACTTCTGGCGAATAAAACAAGGCACTCCTCATTAAACAATGACCGGGCATACGTAGTACATGCATAAGCAAACTCAACTTGCGCAGTACTACTAGTTGTCCTAAGGAACGAGATTTAGTATCATTACCTAGCACTCGCCTAGGCACATCATCATTGCGGCCACGCTGGTGCCATTCGACACAAGTAATGCGCCGAAGACAACGATGATCGAGGGTTTGAAGGCGCCTCGGATCTTCAGACCAAAGGGGCCAAGCATCAATTCCAAAGAGTTGGACGGCCAACACTGTAGCCTTGTGAACACGGCCTTTCAAACGGAAGGGAACCCCTTCTGTCGCCAAAGATGTCGCAGAATCAAAAAGCAAATCTGACCTGCAATACATGAAATGACCACAGTATCTATATACCCATCTTTGCTGAAACTGTTGCCAAGATAAATTAATTGATCAACTACCTAGAGTTCCTCGCTCCCTAGGATCAAGGCGTCATCAAGTGGCTGGTGGACCTGCAGCAACAATTTGCACTTTGAAGGTGCGAATCACAAAACAAAAAATGGAACCAATCTACATAGGTTATTCAAGAGTGATTGCGTCGCCCCAACATCGTTAAACAGCAAGAGGATATGGTCCGCATAATCAAGATCAACAAGCTCTTCATCAAGAAGCACCTCAACACACGCATCGTAATAAACCGCAAGGGAACACCCCATGATGCGGTCCACGAAGAAATTGAACGAAAACTGGGAAGTGGACAACACCGACGAAACCACTTGTTGTCGAAAAGACATCCGATCTGTTTCACAACACAGCAACAATGGAAATAAAAGGTACAGGGAACAAGCAGCTCCAGATTACAGTATATCGTGATTCGAAATCGGGCTTCAAAACAATCCGAACCGGAATAAAATGTAGTCACTTATATAATAAATTCCATCACAAGTGCATAAATGCAAGCATCACGGAATTGAAAGCAGGATGCAAACCAGACCCCGTTTGGCGATGTACCGAGTGTGTGACGGGTCAATTCGTAACGGGCATCAAAGTGCTGGCACGAAAATGTGAAAAATGGACAACGATTATGCAGCGTACCACAGCTAGAACACAGAACCCAACCACCTGCAGCAGAACACACCATGTTGACTATATCATTCCTCGGCCAAGTTGTTCCCTTGGGTAACAAAATTAATCTGAACGACAAAGGAGTTGCGCTGAGGGGCATACAAGATGAGTCTTTACTCAATTACTTTAAGCCGTGCGTGCGCCGCTCACTTGTGCAGGTGTGTGGGTGTGTGTGTGTATAGCCCGGCGCCTTCAGCCAATAGGACCTCAGACGCACTAAATCATAGGGGTGCAGTTGGGACGCTTCAGCTCCTACCAGATGCAGCGTCAGTGGCCGATGCACCATGTGGGCCTTTGTTCCTCTGTCCAATGAAGCGATTCCCAACAATTAGAACGAGAGTAGGGATTTGAACGACGATTGGGTTGGTACAATGAGCCACAGCTAAATAAGTTGGCCGTGTGATTTTGAACGTGCAGTTCACCTAAACGCAATGGTTGGCTTGTATGTTCGGCACTCGAGGGAGGTGAAATACGTCATACTGCAAGCGTACGAGGAAGGAGACGATTGGAAGCAGGTCGCTTGCACACTGAAGGTGAATGTGAAAGCTTGCGGCTACTGGATACGGGCGTACGAATCGACGGAACCGGTGGGGCAGCACAGGGGAGTCCGTCGCAGAGCACTGGAAGAAAGCCACATCGACTCTCCGGTGGAGTGGGTTTCTGCGGAGCCTACCGTTACCCTTGAACTCCTTCGTTTGCGGTTGAAGGCGGAGTTCGAACTTTTAGTAAGTACCAGCACCGTCTCACGATACTTGGATGGTAGACTGATAACAATGAAGGAACTGCACACCATTCCGGAGTCCATGAACATGCTGGAGCACAAATAGTAACGCAGGTCATTCGTTTTGCATCTCGTGGATTACGAGGTGGGAGGAAGGCAACCGGTGTGGATTGATGAGACAAACTTCAACTTATTTTACTCCCGCACTCGTGGCCGCTCACGACGTGGTAGTCGAGCGCAGTGTACAGTGGCGAACAGCCGGGGACCGAATGTTCATCTTGTCGGCGCCATGACAAACAACGGCTTGATAGCGTGTTCGGTTCCGAGATGAAGTTACAACAAGCAAAGGTGCGCTCAGTGACTGCGCCAAGTGCTTGATACCAACGGAGCAAGGTTTGTGAAAAGGTGTCTTTTGCTTTGAGACAATGCGCCCTGTCACACGCACCTGGGGCAGGTTTACCTGGAGGAACCGTACCGCTCTGGGAGACTTCTACGCCTTGCGCCATACTCTCCAGCTTTCGATCCCATCGAGGGCATCTGGAGCATAATAATGGGTCATGTAAAACAGGCAATGAGGGGACGGTACCCCGAGATGATCCTGGGGGATCCTGAAGACCTTATGAATAAAAGCGCGTGGCGGGTTTGCTTTCCGGAGCATGCGGTGTCTGAAGCACGGGGCTTAGTGACGCAGCAGCAGTGCGAGCAAATGGTTCAGCATGTCAGTAAGAAGTATGGACGTGTTGTTCATTTGACCGATCTGTAAAACATTCTGTTGACAGTTAACTACCTGTTCTAAGCGATTGTTGTTCTTACTTTATTCTGATGACGGGTCAGAGTGCACTTTATATCTGCTAGAAATATCCAGTTCTTTATTCGGGGGAACATCGTGGATTTCCGGTAAGTTGGTGCGTGTGGTCGCGTTGGTTGTGTTTGGAGAGCCAGTGGATAAGGACTTTTATAAGGGCGTAATAAATGAGAAAACTGAACTATGCAGACTTGGCGGACATGGGTAGTGTGTGTGGCCGTTTGCCGGATTGCTTAAACCGTTATCCCAACACAGACGGCTGGACGCTGCATACGGAAACGCAGAGCATGTAGGGTAAGCACAACTAACATTTATCAGGTTCTCTGGGAATATTTCCCGATGAGTATTTGTCAGTTGTGGACTGTATTTGAATACACCGCAGGTTGGCGGTGAGAATGTTCTTTGAAGCCGCAAATAAAATGTACTCGCTTCGGCGAATCACATTTACTCGTCAGGTTGTAGCGTCTGCACAGGGATGAGTGGCTCCGCATGACGCAAACCGGTCCGTGCGTTCATATGGCATTTGCCATTTGCAAGTGGAAGCTACTATTTCGCTCCATCCCAATTCTACATGAGAAAATGATGCGGTTATAGCCGGACATCTGTTGCAATCATATCTCGTGCGTGTTATCGTCATCCATCCGCACACCTCAGGCTCCGTCCTCCATCACCAGCTGTGATTGCACCGTGCAGCTAACCACGACATATAAATCAGGCGCACTCTCCATCCACCTCCGACTCCTAGCAAGTGGTTGATATGGAACAGTCCAGCCGTTTACCAAGTATCTGTTTCGCCTTTCAATCCCCTGGGTCTTTGACGACCCAATGTACGCCCGGATACGGAAGCCCTGGGCACTCTCGATATAAACACATATTACATTAGACGAGCGATCTATCGAAACTTAGTTCCAGTGTTGTTCACAGGAAAATGAGCAGTTAACTTATGTCCTTAATTGCTATCAGCTAAAAATTCGCATGGTTTACTGGTACATTCAACCGGGCGCATTTCATCAGCAACGCCATCCACATCGTTGTTAACCTAGTGATGCAGCTCCGGTGTAAGCGGTTTGGTTCTCAGTACACTCGGTTTGAGTTTGGATAAGCGACGATCGATACTTGCGCTATGGTATTGCTCCTGGACTCACAACACGTGATCGTGCCTAATGACGGGGTTTTGCATTATGTAGACAAAGAGATGACTACTCCGCTTTGAATACATTTAATTATTTCGTTTGCAGAGGCATAATATGGGCGCGCAGGCGGTCCGCCCAGGGCGGCACGTGACACGAGGCCGCAATTTCAGTACCGTTGTATGTCGGATACCAAATATAAAGGACAAATGATCCGGATTAGCTGTGGGTTGAATCTTTTAATGTTACACTGTATGATCAACAAAACATTTGCGCCATGTGTCACACTTGTGCGAACGTTCTTCCCAGTGATCCTGTTATTTGTTCCATAGTGGTCACATTCACCTCAAGGTCCCAA